TTTTTTTTTTTTTTTTTTGCCTTTTTTCTTCTCTAGAGTGCCCTTTTTTATCATCCACATTCATGCCATATTTTTATCCACAGTTATTTGAAATTCACGTTTTAATCCTCTCTGCTTTAAATTTCCGTATTTTCACTAATTGAAGCCACATTTTTATCCACATTCTTATGAATCTTATCCACATTCTTCTGAATCTTATTCACATTTTTATGAATCTTATCCACATTCTTATGAATCTTATCCACGTTCCTGTCCACATTCTGATCCACATCTTCACCCACATTCTTATCCACATTCGTATTCCCATTCCTGTTCCGACTTTCTCATGGCTTCACTTCTTTCCCAATTCCATACCATATCCTTCCCATCCCCCTGCCTCTTCGACCGCATCTCGTTCGGCTTTCTCTGCCCCTCCGCCCCGAACCACACACGCACACAAGCACACAACACCCACCCACCCACACACACACACACACACACGCAGAGTCTGGCACAGCCATGCTTTTTTTTCGTGGGGAGTTGTGGATAGCGAACATGACAACACACACACACACACAATTCCTATTCGCATCTCTCTTCCATCCTAGCCTCCTTCCAGCGGCTAGATAATAATGCAATGCCACTTTCCCGTTCAGGGCCCCCTCCCTTCAAAAAAAAAAAAAGACACAACAACGAAAAAAAAAAAAAAATCACTTACCAATTCTTCCCGATGGTCTCCGCCGGCGTGTACCCGGTCATCTTGTAGAACCCCTCGCTGGCATACAAGATCGGGCAATCAGGTTTAGTAGCGTCTGCGACCACGAACGTCTGCTCGAATGCTGACAAGACATCCTTGAGCTCGTCTGATAATCGCGGGAGCTGACAAGAGTTCCCTCCTCCGCCCACGGCCCTGTCTCTTATACACATCTAGATGTGTATAAGAGACAGAGAGAGAGCAGCAGCCCATGGTGAAACCAAAAGAATTATGTACCAGGGGCGCCTGATTGCACACCTGCAGTTTCAAACAGGGTGTTTTTTTCTTCTTTTTTTTGTGCGTATGTGTGTTTTGTGTGTGTGTTGTCATGTTTGCTATATACAACTCCAAAAAAAGAGCATGGCTGTGGCAGACTGTTTCGTCGGACTTTCACCGACTCATCAGGAGGTTGAACCCCGACAGTATGTGTCTGTGTGAGCATGGAGCCATGTAATGGTGCACTCATTTGGACTTCAGGTTTGAACCTCCCGATTCTCCCTTCTCCCTTCTCCCTTTCCTTCATGCCCCCAGGATATTCCCCATCACCCCCGATCCCCTTCCACGATTTCTACCGTCTCTCCTATCTAAAATAGTTTCATGCACTTTTCTCCACCATGGATTTCTGCTTACCCTCCCGCTGCAGTCACACCCTTGACAAGATAGGTCAACTCCATGCCCCCAGATATCGCTCTTCTGCAGAACCCAACAGTCCAACAGTTATGACGACCATCACTCTTTGCTACCACAAGCCTTCTGTAGTGTTAGTGGTGATGGTAACAGCAGACACCGCTAGCACCCGGGGAAAGGCTCCATCTATTAGTGGGGAGCGTCACCTGCTGGAAAACGGGTCCAGCGTCCCTTGTACAAAATGGTTTGGAGAATAGTCAGAAAGGAGAGGAAACTGAGAAGATCCTGCCAGCATTGATTACTCTGAATTCAGAGGATTGACTGAGCAGGTTGTTGAGCAAAGCGCTAATACCAACCTTCTCCCTTCCTACTTGTAACCTTTTGGCTGGAAGGCGACAGAGTAGTTCATAGCAGATCAGAACAAGAAAGTGGAGGGTTCCTGCCCGCATTGATTGCCCTAATGTCCAGGGGATTGAGTGGGCAGGGTATTGGGGCGGGGGGGGGGAACCTCTTCACCCTAAGCTGGCGCCAGATGCCTACTGTTGCATTCTTTCTTTCTTTCTTTTTTTTTCTAGAAAACTTTGTAAATAAGAGACCTACTTAGCGAGGTGATAAACATTCTAGTTCCTCCCTCACCCCGACAATGATGACTCTGATATCCAGTGCCACAATTACCACCAAGGACCTTTGGATGCCCAGAGCCCCTGGACATCCCGACCAAACACTCTAACAATCACTTACACTATCATGCTATTATGCCGTGCACTCCTGGGCGTAGCACCGCTCCCCCCTGAGTCTGGCGTCAGATGCACCCCCCTGTTCTACTGCTAACCAAACCATTGTCTCTCTACTATGGTTGTGGTTGACAGCGGGAACATGTCTGGGAAGTTCTCGGGGCTTTTCATTGGGGTGCTGGAGTCGACTTGCAGCCAGTCGTGGAATCTGAGCCATCCTGCCCCCCCTTTCCCCTCCCAGCCATTCTGCGCAGAAGGTGTGGATTTCTTTGATGATGTCTGATTTTTGTATGAGAACTGTCATTTTATTCTGAAATCGTTGCCATTGTGCTCTTATTTCTGTTTCCACAAATTGTTTGACTGTAGACGTCACTTCCCCTTCCTCCATTCTGGCCCCTTCCTGGTCAAAGATGCACCTCCTTGTCCACAAGGCCCAGATTACAGCCTATGGTAAAGAGGTTGTTGGCGAAGCGGGATGCGTGTGGCCTGTTCCATTGACCTATCAGAAGCACTTCCCATTTCCATAGCCATTCCTCATTAGTGCCCAGTTGAGACCAAATGCGAGCCCACCAACGCCACGTCAGGGTGGCGCCCGGACACTGGAGAAAGATGTGTTCAATTGTCTCACATATTCTTCGGGATGGGAACCCTGCATTACAGGACTTACACCACGGGAGTGCGATCCCTTTTTGCTCCAGATTCATCCTGTCTATGATCTAATCACTGGTGGGGAGGCATCGGTGACAGATTTGCCACTGTAGGGAGGCGAACTTTGCTGGTCTCTCTTTCACCCCTTTAAACCACTGCAACCCTCTCACTTGTCCCCTATGTAGGCCTAGGTGCTTCTGCCAACGTTCTTCTATCTCTGCCCGAATGTCGACCCGAGGTTTGATCATTCTATATGTGGCTTTTACAGACAACTCAGAGAGGTATATGGTTTGTCCATTCGTCCCCTAACCCATTGCCATTCTAAAGGGTCCAGGGTTGAAGCGGACAGAGGGACTTCTGGTAAAAATGCTTGCAATTGAGTCCTCCCTTCCTTATGGCTTTGCAGGACCCGGATCCAGTAGAGGTTGGTCCTCTCATGCCATTGGACCGAGTCTGGGAGGTAGCGTACCAGGGAATCGTCCCCTCTTCTCTTGAAAAGGTTGACCATGGCCCCTTCCGATCTAGCCTCAACCATCGTGCCAATTTGTAGGGGGAAGTTGACTACCCTTACTGCTACCCAGTCCTGCTCTTGTAGTATCGTGCCCTTTCTTAGGGTCATCACCCAGGCAAGGGGCATTGAAAATATCAACTGTTCCAGGGCCTCTACCAGGTTCCGAGTGTGGCGTAGGCTGGGCCGTAATTGTTGAGTTGTTTTCCAGTCTTTGGTTGCCTCATCCCAGATATCCCCCACTCTAAGAATACCTTGCCTAACCCATGAGGCCCAACGGGGGTCCGAGATGGCGAAAACTCTTCCTTGTCTGTCCGTGATTGCCCTATTCCCAAAAAGGGGTTGACGCAGGATCTCCTCTGCTCGTTCCGGGGCCGGTCTGTCCGGGATTGGCAGCCTCCTCCAGTTTTTAATAAGGTCAATCCAGAATTTATCTTTTACCAAATCTTGCCTGGTTGCTCCTCTGTCCCCTTCCTCTTGGGAATTAAGACGGGGGCGGGGTATAGACCAATACCGGTCCTCCAGCCATGTGAGGGGGTTAACAGTGTTGGCAGTTCGTGGTGCGAGTCAGCGGATTTGTTCCAAAGCCAAATCCCGCCATGGAGGACTTATTCCTACTATTAATATTTTGATCCATTGGATTGATAGTGCAGTGGCTTGAAGAGCGGGGTCCAATAAGCCTAAACCCCCTTTAGTTTTAGGCTGGATTAGCTTGTCCTAAGCCACCCTTCTGATTACATTTTGTTGCTCATGATTCCCCCCCCAGAGGAAGGCAACCAGATGCTTTTTGAGGTCCCTGATGCTATCCTTTTCAAGTTGCCAGAGGGCCGACTTATACCAGATGGGTGCAAGCACCACGTTGTTTATGAGTAGTGCCCTCCCGAAGAGGTAAGTGTTTTTGTCGCCCCAATTCCGCATTTTTTCCAGTGTCGGCCTGATGATTCATTCATCGTTTCTTACCGGCGGTCCATGAGCTGAGAGCATCACCCCCAAGACTTTGATTGGTTCATCGAGGGGTCTCCAGTCAACCTTTGGCTGTTCAGGTGGCCGAACTCATTGAAAGCGGGTCCACCAGCCTTGCGTTTTGCTCCCCCAATTAACTGACATGTCAAAAACCGTGGTGAACCGGTCCATGAGGGCTTGAAGTTTGTCCATGTTACTGTGGTTAGCCTCGGTCACTATTGTAAGGTTATCCGCAAACATTGAGTAAATCGGGATGGCTTCTTCCGGGATGCCTGACAACTGAAGTCTGGAGATTTTTTTATTCGTTTGCAAATTAGCAGCCAGTGCTTCCATCACGAACAAGAACAGGAAGGGGGCTAGCGAGTCACCCTGCCGCACGGAGCGTTGTAACTTAAATTATGGGGCCAGCAAGCCGTTCACCTGTACCTGTGTGGTCGCATTATTATGGAGAATCCTAATCCAGTTACGGAATTCTTGACCGAAGTTCATTTTTTGCAAGCATTTGTCCAACAATTTCCAATCTACATGATCGTATGCTTTTTCGAAATCGATGAACACTATGGCTGCATTTTGTCGGAACTGTCTTGATAGCTTGATTAGTTCGTTAACCAACAACACATTGTTATGACCCGATCAAAACCCGCGAAGTCATCTCGTATTCTTCAACCCATGGCTTGAAAGTGGCCAGAGACTTCTACAAAAAACTTTTCTCCTCCTCCCTGATCAACGAGCCAGAGCAGACAAACGAAGATAAAATCACAAAATTCCTACTCCCCCGCACAACATGTTTATCTAGTGAGCAGAGGGAATCTCTCAGATCTTTATCCCCTTCCACAATACCTACCATCATTTCCCCCCTCTTTAACTCCAGCTCGGGTTACTGTTAGGGGTGATAGGAGCGGCCCCATCAGTACTATCTGCTGCTGGCTCCTGTCTATTGGTACAAGGGAGCATCACCTGCTGGAAACCGGGTACAGCATCCCTTTGTACATCAAATTCTTGTGTGCAAAAAAAAAATAAAAAAAATTGTGCAGGATTGTGCACTCAGCAGAGTGACCCAAATCCTGCCATGCAGTACTCGTGATCCCATGGTCAGTACACCCCTCCATGTTCGCGTGAACAGGTCGCGAACATGTTCGTGCGAACAGGTCACGAATATATTCTTTTTTCGTAATTTTTTTTTATTTTTTTTTTCGGTTTTTGATTTTTAACTCGTGATTGGCTGAGAATTTGAACATTACTCCAAGGCAAAAGTTGCTTGCTGTATTATTTTACATAACATATATTTTTTTCAGAATTTTTTTAGAACTTTTTTTTTTTTAAAAATATTTTTTATGTTCGCGTTCGGAGGGTTTTGGGCGCTTGTTCGCGTTCGGGCGAACATGTTCGCGTTCTCCTCCGAACGCGAACACGGTGCTACGTAGGGTGGATCCCTCCTTCAATCACGGAGTAAATGGAGGGCGTCAGGATCACTGCTAACAGAAGTTGAGTTTATTCCATAAAATGTGGCACTTACTTTCTGCACTGTTGTTGCAACCACCACCATCATATCATTTGTGATCTGATGGCTGGGAAGCACTCTGCCGTGATGAACCTGTCACACTGGATTGGCCACACTCCTATCCGACTGCTAATGGGACTATGCTCCAGGGGATTGACTGCCAGTGCCTCTGTGGATTCTATTTGTTTTTTCAGCTTTATCCTAAAGCCTTCCTTTTTTTTTTTTTTTTTTTTTTTTTTTTGGTGTTGTAGAGGCCAGTCACTGAGTGCACAGTGATCACCTGGAGCAGTAGGCCGTGGGTGTCCTAGGATATGAGATTGTTGTTGCCTTACTGTCTCTACTAACTAAACTTTCTGGCTCCTACACTTTTCTCCGCTATGCGTTTCTGCTCACCCTCTCGTTGCACTCACACCTTCAGCAACACCACTTGACTTAAACTTCATGCCCCTTGCGATCGCGAAAGATGCCACTACTTACCTTGTACCTTTGTGACTTAGCTGCTCACCAGTTGATGTTAATGTCCTTGAAGGAGGTGGTCACTTTTTTCCGTGACTCGCTCCTCTAAGGCAATTGTGTCTGCTAAAAACTCTGTACCCATCTACGACTAACTTTTCCAAGTTGACCGTTTTAGTGTTCTCCGTCCATGCTAGTCAAAACATCAGGAAAAACAAGATTCAACAAATTCACGAGACCATTGAAATTCTAAAAAGTTAGAGATCATTATTCAAGATCAGAGACGAGGCTCTGATTTACGATCGTCAATATGA